TTAATCCGCACCAGACAAAGCATTTAATACACGCCCTTTGTCGCTGGGATGAGCGCCTGGCCACGCAGATCATTGGCATGCTATTCGCCTCGGTTACCAAGCACACGGAGCTGTGCGCACCCTTCTTCAAGCTGCTCACACTGCTCACCGAGACGCAGGGCGGTCCAGTGGGCCTGCCGTGTTTCACCCAGTTAATCCTGCCCCGCATGTGGGACGCGGCCGAGTACTGTCCACAATCCGTGCTGGACTGGCTCTCGCTGCAGGCCACCAAGAACAAGATCGCCCACGCCTGGATTCTTCAGTCAGCCGAGAAGTGGCTCGAGCAGTTCCTGCTGGCCCATGATAACACGCGGGTTCGGAACGGTATGATATCGGCGCTATCCGCTTGGGAGATCCTGTTAAATGGTCGGATTTTATTACAGCTGCCGCCTTTCTGCTGGTGGCACTGGTACCCTCGCAGCCCTTCCGGGCCAACTTCCGCGCCCACTCACAACACAAGCTGCTGGCCCTCAATCCACACAGTTATCGGTAAATTATTTATGGAGTAGTCCACTTTTTGATCTTTGAGTTACACTAACCACCTTGCTTATCCTCCTGCAGCGACATAAACAGCGATGCCCAGGCTGTGCTGCACCAGGTGATAACGCTGCTCCTGCGATTGCTGCGTCCTGCGCGCGTCTATGCGGATATCGGAGCCCATGGCACGACCAAGCTGACCGCGTACTTCAATCTGCTCAGCTATTGTATGGTTTCAAAGACTGAAAAACTAATGGCAAGTTTAGCAGCAGCAATTTCGCTTTCCCGATATGTTCACCACTAAATTGACCCACTTTGTTGCCACTTACAGATAGGTTCGTACATGCGCTCCCTGTGGGAGCTTTTCCATCCACGCCTCTCGGAGCCCAGTGTTCCAGCCCATCACAACAAGCACGCACTATTGACCTTCTGGCACCACTCACTGGTGGACTGTCCGGAGAATGCTGCCCAGGTGGCCAACTGCCCAGAGATTACGCGCAACATAGCATTTAACTATATACTGTAAGGAGACCACTGTTTTCGACTGGTGTAAACTTTATTTAACCGTGTGGTTACCACCTAGGGCCGATCATGATGACGCGGAGATAGTCACCTACAATCGTTCCATGCTGCCCGCCTACTATGGACTACTTCGTCTGTGCTGCGAGCAGAGCCGAGCACTCACCCGCCAATTGTCCCAGCACCAGAATCTTCAGTGGGCCTTTAAGAACATCACGCCACATCCCACGCAGTACGCGGCCGCCGTGGACGAGCTTTTCAAGTTGATGGCTCTGTTCGCCACCCGTCATCCGGATGCTAGTGAACAGGAAAAGCTCGATGTGACCCAGTTTAGGAGGGCTGTGATCGTGTCCTACACTAGTAGTCTGGATGCGCGTGTCTCCTGGTCCACGCTTATCAGTGCTCTTAAGATACTCGGTAAGCATTTCACCCAACTTAGTTGTAGAAGAGCACGCAGCACTAATGTGATCCTATTCGCCTACAGTGGACAATGAGGAGGACCGCACGATGGTGATCTTTAACGGCGGCATTGAGATGTGCTTTGAGGCGCTGCACACGCTACATTCCATGCATCACGAGGCCACCGCCTGCCATGTGGCTGGAGACCTATTCGATCTCTTGGGCGAGATGCTGCTCCTCCTAGCCACGCTGCGAACCCGCACAGACAGTCCTGCGCAAAAGAAGCAGCAGCAGCAACAGCAGCAGCTGGAGCAACAGTTGCAGTTGCAGCAGCAACAGATGCTGCAGAAACAGCAGCAGCAGTCGCAAAGCCAAACGCAAACACCACAGACGCCGCAGCAAAAGGAAAAGCAGCTGCAGCAACAAATGCAGCAGCACCTGCAGCTGCAACAGTTGCAGCAAATGCAATTCCAGCAGCAGCACTTCCTGCGCCAGCAACATCAGCACTCGGCGCTGGCGAAGGCACTGCCGGATGCAGTAAAGCGACTGGCCACGCTACTTAACACCTTTAACTCCCCTGAGATCAGTCGCATGGCCTTGGAAGTGCTCAAGGAGCTGGTGCGCAATCCCAGCCTGGAAACCATTAGCATTCTGGCGCCCATTCTTATCAACTGTCATCTGTCCGTGGCGAATGCTCCCAATGCGATCGGTCCTCTGGGACCGTATTTCCCGCGTCGCGGAGCGAAGCACACGCCTTGGCCATTAGGCGCCAAGAACTCACCCCGTCCACCGCGACCCATGGTACAGATGTGCATCGCTCTGGCAGAGCTGACACCTCGCGGTCTCGATGCGGATTACGACGTCCAGGTGGAGTCCTTCTACCGACCATACCATGACTTCATCGATGTCATGATGCGCATGTGCGTCAACACGGGTACTCTGAACGACACGCTAGTCAAGCTGCAATGCTTGGTGGCCATCGAGTCCACGCCGCTGCACTTCACCTATTTCCCCAAGTTCTGGGTGGGCATACACAACAATGCTCTGACGCACAAGTAAGTGAAAGCTGTTTGTTGAAAATAAGATGCAACTTTATCCCATTCCTTCTTATAAGATACGTTGAACTGCTCGTGAAGAATCAACTGTTGGTGGAGTACCTCCACAATGTCCTGAGGGACGAGCGAAGCATGTTAAAGGATGCGTGCGTTCGTGAATTTCTGGAGCTCTATTATCACAAGGTTGCCGCCCAGCTGCCAGTTGCCCGTATGATCTACACAATCAACTATGGTATGCACTCCAAGGACGACATTGACGAGCTGTGTGGTGACCTGTTCGCCATCCGAATCATTGCCCAAGCCACTGGAGTGCCAGCCTCAGTGCGCAAGGAGTTGCGCGGATCTCTGAGGGCACTACAGAATAAGAGCGAGCGGTTTAGGAAGGAATCGGAGCGGGGTAAGTTTCGCGTTACCATTATGGTTTTATTGCCTAGAATAGGGGAACTACTTGAGTACGTTGAAATTGATAGAGCTTTCATCATCTCCCTATTTGCCAGATCCATTTCCGAACAAGAAGCAGAAACGTGACTCGCAAAAGGTGAAGGAAAAGGATCACCCTCAGCCGGAGGGCGAGAAAGACACCTCAACGGACAACGACAAACCAGCAGATGTCTCTATGGAATCCAGCGGTAACTCGGAGCAAGTAACGGACAGCACCAAACCACCAACTCCTGCTGGCAGCGACGATGAGCAGATGGAGAAAACGTCAATTCCCTCGTCCGATGACGAGACAGAGCTGGAGGATGAGCTGCAACCGACGCCCAAGCGCAACAAGAAGGCGTCGAATAAGAAGACTGCCCAGGATCGTCTCAACGAGGAGCGCGAAAAGCGACTGATCACGCTGATCACCATGGAATCGTACATCCAGAGCATTTTTGCCATCCTTAAGCGAGATGCCTGTGTGCCCAGCTCGGGAGCGACTAAGGAGCCGAGTGAGGAACCGTGTGGCGAGGCTTCCACTTCGGCGGCTGCCGCTGTAAAGTTGTCTCGCCCCAAGGGAGCCTGCACTCCGCCGGAGCCGATGGCCGCTGCAAACGATGCGCGATGCAAGATGGATACGGAGACGGAGGCGGAGGAGCAATCTCCAAAGCCGAGTCACACCAATGGTGGCCAACAGAACGAATCCCCGCCAGCGGCCACCAGTGCAGACACTGCACCCGCGAATCCTTCCCCGGCTCCCACGGCCGCCGTTGCGTCCACGTCCCAGGCAGCAAGTCCAACACAGATTTAGTTGTCATTCAACGATTTGCTCAGCATTTTGTTTTTCGGCAAGCCACTGGACTGATAATGGGCGCCGGCGGCTGACCACGGCTGAGCACCTAACCTGTAAGAATTTTGTGGCCAAAGGTCATTGTTAGGCACACGTACGCAACCCAAGGTTGGTGCTAATGGTTGGTTGCACATACACACACAAAAAACAGAAGTCTAATGGCAAAACAGAGCGACACAAGCTAAACAGCTCCCATTCCGATATTCGTTTTCGAGGAAATGGAAAGTGCCAGGAGTTTGGCCATCCGCTGAAACTGAACATTGGTTTTGGGGTTAATAGATACTTAGTTAAGCTTATCAACAAATAGCAATGTAACACACATTCAGTCCCGACACGCAAACAGCCCTCACATATATTCAATATATAGATATAAATGTAACTAACTTAAGACTACCCAGCACGCAACGTCCCCCGCAGAGCAGAGAACCCGTAGGAGATCCCCTTTCGAATGGATGGTTAAGTTCCCACAACCCAATGGAGACATTTGTTATGCCAAAAAATAAGAAGACAAAAAACTGAAAGTGGAAAGCGGTTAAGCAGTTGAATCAGAGGCAGCATTAGGACTACAAATTAAAAGTTTGAACGAGTGAACGAGAGCGGTTAAAGAAGATCAATGAAACGGCTTACGAGACGCTAATATCTATATATGTTGTATCCATTAAGTATCATTTTAAAAACGATGCTAAGACCCACTTGCTTACCAACTTTCCTCGCCTTCTCCCACGCCCCCAATGCACCATAAACGATACGTTAGACATGAACAGATATTATAATTATAGAACCTAACGAAACATTTTAAATATTGGATGTGTTAAAGAGTATGAGTATGTCATAATCATTTTCAATGTAAATCGCATAACGCAAACCAATCGAACAGTTTTAGTTCACATCCGATAATGATAAATTGTAATGTTTAGCACGTAAGTTGTGTAGAGAGTTGTTGTCCCACGTGAAACACAACAGGACAAAAATGATAACATTAAATAAAGTAACTGGCCAGCCCCGCAAAACGGGTCGCATATATTGATAGTCTTAAGCAATCCCGAGAACGTAGCGCGATCGAAATTCACACAATGTAATGTTGAGAACCCAACAAAAAACACAAACCTAAATCACACGCAAACAAATCATGAGAATAATAAGTTTAAATGATATGTAATTGAAACGAACTGGAATGGTATTTATTGGGGCGGGCACTTCTTGACTTTCTAGCAACCTGTTGCCTTTCGACTCGAGTGTTCCATTCCGGATGATGCTGCCACACGCATGCGCTGCCGTAAATGTCACATTCCGGAAAGTCGCCACCCCAAGAATCAGTCTGTACAAATTCAGTGTACCATTTGGATTTCAATTAGGAAAACGAAGGCTTTCTTCTGAAAATTGCTTAAAATGCCGTGTGTTGGTTGTGGAAAGGGTGAGTTGCAACTCGATTAAAAGAAATTTTCCGCAGCAAAAGCAAACATATTATATAAATACACCATACAGATTGCAAGTGCACGCCGGAGAAGTGCTGCGAGAAGTGCAAGTGCCAAAACCCCGGACACTGTGGATGCAATCCCTCGAATGCCACCGCCTCGGGCGGATGTTGCAAGAAGGATGGCGACACAGCGGGCGGCGATGCCAAGGCAAGTTGCTGCGGCGCAAAGAAGTAGATGCCCATGCCCAAATCCAAGCCCATTGATGCGAGAGGAAAAATACTTTTTTCCTTTTATTTTTCGATGGCCATAACTGCTAGTGAGCTGTTATCATTAAATACATTTATTGTTTAATCGAAACAAAACCAAGAGTTCTATAAATTTACTGCACAAGATAAACTAATGACCTATACCAGCATTGCTCCTTTGTGTTGATCTTTAATGGGTGGCAATGACTTCTATTTTAGTTTCGTGTTTTTTTTATTTTTTTAAATTTTAAATAACAAAATGTGGCAAAATGAGGCGCTTAGCAAACCAGCCAACAACAATGTGCACTCTGTTTATACATAGATTGCTTATGGAATTCTATACCAAAGATGAGATAAGGTGGAAAAGGAGGCGGGGGGTGGGGGTATGTACGCCTTAGGTGAAAATTAAACAAATTAAATTCGTTAGCGATTTCTTTATATTACAGCGTTAAATTTCATATATCCGTTTCAGACGCATATCGTTTGTAAAAAAACAATTTAAAATTTCATTTTTTCAACAGACACAAGCCACTTACTAATGATGCACTTACTCTTAAAGATACGTAATATAGACCATCTACACTTCAATTAATGCAATATAAAAACAACTTCCTTTAAGGGCAATTAATAGCTAGACGTTTGTGTTTTCGGTTCTCACGCACTATAGAAGGGTTTAGATTTATACAAATTAGAAGGGGTCGCCCTTTCGAATATCGAACCATTCTACTGGTCCATGGACACCTAATTGCGCTTCGCTTTGCGCTTTTTGCGACTATTTGGCGCCTGGGAAGAGGATTGAGCCCCTGGAGTTTGGATACTGACTTTAGCCTTCTCTTCGTTGCTGCCGCCGAACTTGCGCCAGATGTTGTGGATGAAACCGTCGGCCTCGTTAATGTTGTTGCTCCTATTTGATTTGTATGCCACATTGTTGTTGATGTTGTTGTTATTATTATTGTTGTTGTTGGTTTTTGCCGACGGCGGCTGCGACGGCACCGGCTGCTGCGTCTTGTGCTGCGCTCCTTGGGCGTATTCTCATGACCGCTTCACCTTGCCATTGGACGCATTCACCGAGGTTTGGGAGCGGTAGGAGGCAGCGCCTCCGCCCACAGCCATTTCGGTCGCATGGGTGGCCACATGCTGGATGCCCTTCTCCATGCATCCGTGATAGATGGGTCGCATGAACTGCAAGCACAAGGTAGTTTAGCACACACACATCTCAGTTACATTCCCAGCTACTTACTTTCTCCCACATAAGCGTAGCAAAGTCATCCAACTTGCCGCCAAAGTCACTGAGCTCTCCGCTATATCTGCAATTCAAAAGAAGAGTTAGTTGGCAAGATTATCATCCAGAGCTCAATTATCAACCTACCTGATGTAAGCCCACAGAGCCAGCGTGAGTAGCGCCACACCCATGACCAGGTTGCAGAAGTTGGCGAACGTGTAGAGACCAACCAATCCGAAGATGCCGCTGAGGATGTACATGATGACGGCGCAAGCGAAGTACACTGCCGGGGTTCGTGCCGCCTTAAATATGTTCTTGCTCTCGTTGTGCGCTTGGTAGTTGGTGAAGACCTCCTCAAGATCATCTTCCAGTTGCTTGCGGAATTTCTCGGTGAACTCCTCGCCTCCCATCTTGCGCTTGGCTGCGAACTGAAACAGCGCCTTGTCCTTCACCCGCAGGTGCTCCGTTTGCAGGTGAGCGGTGCTTAAGTACGGCCGCGTTCCGCCGCACACCTCCTCCATGAGCTGTCCGTATAGCTCCTTGGCGGCGGCCACGGCGGTCAAATGGTTGGCTTCGGCGGTGGCCACCAGCATGCTCTTCGGCTCGGGCAGCTCGTTGCCCTTGTAGATGTTCATGTACGATTGGAAGTACTGGATGAGATCGCGGGCCCGCACTCGTTGTCCGCTGATCTCCTTATAGACCAGGTTATCCGGTGCCAGCAGCATGGGCACCAGGGAGCGCAGACTGTTCTTGAACTCGGGCGTGATGTCCTGCAGCCGACCGTCAAATTTGGGATTGGTGGCCACATTGAGGCCTGGATGGGGCATCAGGAAGCAGGCCACCTCCGTGAAACAGGACGAAATGTGTCGACGCAGGGACTGTAGTTCTGGGTGCTGTTTATCGGACACCTCCAGACGTCGTTTCAGAATCGTATCACCGCCCAGTGCACCGTATTCCGCCTCGTAGGGAAAGCTCCAGTCCCGGACAAGGAACTGCAGCCGCTGGAACGGCTTTTTGCCGGTGTCGGCCAGCGCCAGACGGCCATATTCGGTGAAGAGTTGCAGGTGCTGCAGATCGTCCTCCTGGATGTTCTGTGATAGGTTGTATATCTGCACCGAGGACAGCATTGTGCTCAATGCAAAAACGGTTGCACAATCGCGCACGGTGCTCTGGCTGTCGAAGGCGCCCTGTGTGTCTAGCAGAATGATGGCTATCTTATCGCCGTTGGGATAGTCGTGCAGGAATATGTCGGACCACATGAGAATGCCGGTGGTGTCACGCTCGGAGCCGCCGCGCCAGGAGAATCCCTCAAGCGGATCTGATTCGCCTCCCAGCCAGTCTGTCGCATCGTGATGCACATACTATAAAGACCACAAAAAAGTCATTTGTAAGTGAAAGATGCTTGTGATGGCAGCAATATCAAGACTCACCTTTGAATACATATAGCGCAGAAAGAAGTCCAGCAGGAAGCTCTTGCCCTTCCGGAAGGCTCCCGCCACGGAGACGACGCAGACGAACCGATCCTTGACCTCATCCCGCATGAGGACCTCACTCAACGCATCCTCGTTGAGCACAAATGTGTGCTCCTCGGAGGCGTTGATCACCTGCACTGCCGAACCGCCCATTCTGGTATCTGGAATCCTTGCCTGCTATCCCGTTAGCTGTCTCTGTGCTTCGCCGGCTGTGTGCTTGCCTCCGTTGGGGAATTCTTTCTAGTTAATCTGTTGGATTTCGACTTGTCAACTGCGAACATAAACAAACGGCTAGATAAGTATGGAGAAAATTTCGGCTGTGCCTTTCAGCAATTTTCCCCATTTCCGGCAAAGGGAATATTGCGAGTGTCTGGGCCAACATTTAATTGCGCAAGCCTCTGCGCCGCGAGTTCATTTAATTTTGGCACAGCCACGAGACACGAGCGACGGAAAGGACAGAAAGGCCTGCAATTATGAGAGGTGGCCAAAAATAAACCCAAACATGCGCTGCTCCGCGATCGCAGAAGATGTCAGCGCCGGACGTGGGGTACTATGTAAGCGGATTGTTCAGGTGCGTGGGATATATGTACATATGTATGTATGCACGTATCCATCCGAGGAATGGTACTTTGTAGGTGTGCAGAAAAGTATCTTATTTGTAGGTTGTCATTCGGTTGTAACCATAGTTCGTTTCTAACCATATTTTTAATTGCTTATAAACCCAACTGTTTTTGAGAACTGAAGCAGATCAAATAAACAGATCCGAATGAAGTCACAAGTAACTTTAAGAAATACGGGTTTGATTACCACTTTAGAATTAATTATAAGAAAACCGGTTTGTTGAACTGAGGACTAAACTTTCATCATTCGCCTGTATGAATGAGCAGAGTAATTAAGTATTTTACAAGGCCACATCAATTACAAATTATATGTTTTTAGGTACTCAAAACAACTTGGAAAGAAATTTATCAGAAACCGGTATTTTAGTGATTTTATTGACCTTATTAGCTTTCCTAAATGATGTTTTGTTTGCAACACGAACACTTGTTCATCAGTTCCTTTTGGGTTCTACCAGTCCAAATGGAGGGTATATACTCAAAATGGTTTCCAAATCGGGTTAAACGAATTCAGCACAGTTGAGTGTTCGAATGTAGGCCGTAGGGAGCACATTAAAATTAATTTCGTTAGCTGCGCTGTGATGACGTCTACAACTTTTGTCGCGCTACGCAGTTTGACCACTTGAATTCTAATTGGAAGCGCAGCCAAAACAAAAAGAGACCATACCACCACACGTACCACATTGGGACAAGAGATCGGTGAGGAATTATGCCACACACGCGATTATGCAGCCAGAATAAAAGTTATGCTTGCGCCTAATTGAATCCGATTCGGATGCGGAATGGGAATATGAATATAAATACACGACCAGCGCGACCGTCAACCAAATCAAACTGCAGCAACAACACGCAAGTCACCAATGGAATCGGCTACCTCAATGGAATCGTGGAAAGAGAGCGGGGCGGTACTCTCTCTTTTTCGATCACCTCTCTCTACTTTCGTCGCCACATGGCAAAATAGGAACAGACACAGTGGGAGGGGAGTGGGCTAATGCATTTGGTGCGGCAGCAGCTGCAACGTTAGCAAAATCGCGTCTGTCCAATTAACACATTGCCACTTAATTAAGACCAACACTTGTCCGAGACTTTGGCGCGCTGAATGGGAATTTAAAAATCAAAATAAGAAACACATCTGGCAATGCTGTTTGGAGCCAGGCTTGTCCAGCAGGTGTGTGAGCAGTGCCGCCAGATACGAGCGATCATCGCAACACACCAGTTGTCTCTGTTACACTTGCTGCTTTATCTACTGCTGGGCGATGTAAACAAAGGTGTTGGAAAGTAACAGCAACAGTTGTGTGGCCTGCGTCGACGTCGGCAGAGCGATTAGTCAACTGGAAACACGGTTGCCGAGAGCAACAACAACGGGCTCACACTCAATAACAGAACGGCAGTGCAAGAAGAAGAAGCAGCAGCAGAAGCGCTTGGAAAATGTTGAGCGGGGAAAAAGAATAAAAGTTTTTAATTTGCCTAAATTGGCTGCCCGTGAAAAAGTGTTTAATTGGCAGCCCTAGCCCCTGCAAAAGAAGAAACTAAAAGCCCAGGCGGATATCAGCCATCCGGCGTGCAGGAGCTGCTCATTCGAGATTTGCAAGCCATGGAATGCGGTTCACGTAGCGGACACCGCCCAATTCCGATTTGGCTTTCCAGCTGCCTCGTGGCCATGTGCTTGGCCCTTCCACGAGGAGCAGCTGTCCCCCAGGAAGCACCTGCCTACTACTACGTCGGTTGCTACACGGCTCGAACGGATCTGCTCCATGAATCGGTGTACGCCAAGACCCCGCAGACCTGCATCGAGATCTGCGAGCATCAGGGTCACCACTATGCCGTGCTGGCCTCCGAGAAGTGCTTCTGTGCCAATG